GTGGGGCTTAGCTTACCATCTGACCTAAAAGACCACTCACCATACAAACTAATCGGCTTCGTTAAGAAGCTGGGTTTATTTGGTCGAGTGTGAATAGGTGTGAGCCACAACTTTACCTAACATGAGAAAGAAAGATGCTGAGGAGAATACTCGAAGGAAGAAGAAAAGACGAAATTAGGGAAAAAAGAAATAACAAAGAACCGTACGAAATCGATGGAAAACTAGATATTATAAATATTATCAAGGCTCAAATTCGATGGTGAGGGCATATTTCAAGAATGAAATATGCAAGTATGGTCAGGAAAGTTATGAACAGAAGTCACCTGACAACAGAGAAAGGGAAATGCCACGAGTTAGGTGGAACCACATATGTGGTTCCAGATGATAGATCTTGTGTATGCAAAAAACGATCAAAATTTCCATGGAGGTAGATATAGCTTCTTGTTCATGCTTTTCATGTGAACCCACGACGTACGTGGTACGTGTGGCAGATACCAGATGGAGAAACAACTAACCCATCGAAAGCCGCTGATGAAGATTTTGTTATTCAGAAAAAAGTAATCAGAATTATGGCTGGTGCATCTTCAAGTGAACACTGTAGGCCATTGTTCCTTCGTTGAAGTTTATTAAAAATGCCTAGTTTGTATATCTACCAAACTCTGATATATATATAAAAAACAATATTTCAATTATTTCTAGAAATGAGCAAATCCATGATCATTTCACCAGAAATAACTCTCAACTACATCAACCTTATGGTAGATTGAGAGTATCAGAGATTCACCCCATGTGCTTTGGGGTTGAGCTATATAATAATGTCTTTAAAAGGCGGCTCAAGATTTTTCTATTGCAAAAAGCATACTACTTTGTGGATGAGTTTCTCCTTGAATCCTAATTTGATTGTAGTTTATTAACTTTTTTTATGTATGTTTTATATTGATTTTTTTATATTTGTTTTTTGTCTAATGTGATTGTGAAGGAAAACTTATTCAATAAATATTCGATATATTCATTGAAAGCTGAAGTGAAAACGTCAGAAGCATGTGCAACGTCTCTCATTCGGGAGATTCGTCGCAAGTAACTTCCTGAAATTGATTTCATTTGTTTTGATTGGCTTCCGGGTTTTGCCGTGGTCTTCTTTGTTTATAATTTTCAAACGTTTGAACTACGACTGCGGCGGTCATCAGTGATGTGGTCGAAGTACTCTTCTTGACGTGTCCACTGAGGAGTTTTCAGTATATGCCATATCCTTTCTCGTCTAACAATCCTCCATATTGCTTCAGTGAACAATGTCTCTGAGTGGTATATTCAATAGAAGTTGATTCCATAAAAAATGCATAATGCTCGTCTTCTCTTTCTGCTCTTAGCACACCTTCATCATTTTCTTTGACATTTTCTGGATGTTCGACCATGTGTTGACCAATTTTGTGAAGCGTTGTTCCTTCTTCGGCATCCTATGAATATACAAGAAATTTTGTTCCATCAGTTGAATAATACCTTAGAAGGTAAAATACCTTATCAACTGGAAATGATTTTGATATAAAATTGAGTTTCAAGTTGATTTGTCATTTTTCATTATCAAATGTTACAAAAAATGATGTATCACTACTACTGGATGCTGGCAAGTTGGCAGCATCGCCTTGTCACGGTAATGCGGGGCACTGCCGTGATTGACCTTCTTTCCCTAGCTACTCGTGGGACTTTTATGGCGCTGAGTCTACAGAAGAGATATATGTCGAGCATACGACTCCAACTGACCTCCCTGCAAATTTAGATAAGGAGGGAGAGCTTCTTAACTCTCCAACTCCTGATCCAATAACTGAAACCTAAACAAAAGGTTTGGTGGTGAAGCCAGGAAATGACTGAGTCATCTCCTCAAGAGCGCCTTGCACCAAATTCTTGAGCGACGTATGTAGAACCTGTCATAGGTGGAGGAACAAACCTCCCATGAGCAGGTTAGCAAACGTTTGCGCTCAAGTGATAATTCACCAAAACCAGAGGTGTAAAAGCTGCACGGGTAAATTTAAGTCAACGTCAGGTGTGTCTGACGTACAAAAATCCTCATATGGGAAGGTTGTCGCGGGTATCAAGGTGGGAATCTTGCACCTAGACTATCCGACTACCTCAATAACGATGAAACAGCAGAGCATATACTCTATGCCTGCCCCGCTGGGGGCCGAATCAGGTTTTTAGAGTTCGGCAGAGCCATACTATTACCATCTGATCTGAAAGACTACTCAGAATACAAACTAATCGGCTTCGTTAAGAAGCTGGGTTTATTTGGTCGAGTGTGAATATGTGTGAGCTACAATAAACCCTTGAGAGTTGCGGTGGACCCACTCACTTTGGACTTAACCTAACCTAACCTTTCCTAACCACTGGATACTTTTGGCAAAAAGAATTTTTTTGCTTCTTCTAGAGGTTGGTTGGAGAAAGGATAATGGAAAAGTATACAAGGAAGGTTCCTTGGATTTGGCATTTTCATCCAGGAAGAACTTCACTTTGTGGAGTTCCACGAGGAACAGTTCTAGGGCCAATCCTCTTCGTGATTTATATAAACAGCTCACTCACCTTGTAAACATGTGGAAATATCATCAGCCATGCTGATGATACGGCTATCTTTCATAGCGCAGAATCTTGGGACAACTTGAAACATATCAGAAGATTTCAGCCACCTGATAGAATGGTTTGAACTCACTATCAATTTTGAAAAATCTATGTTCTTACCGCTGAGCTTTTATGCTTCCAACTTGCCCAATTTTGAAAAGTTAGCTTTCAACAACCACGGTACTACTTTTGAAATTAGCGCAACCGACCAAATCACATACCTTAATGTCACTGTTGACAGACTCTTAAGATGGAATAAACATGTCGACAACGTAACAAATTCTCTCAGAAAATTAATATATAAATTCAGAGTATTATCAAAGATGCTTGATATGCCTGAATTGATCAGAACTTATTATGTAATGTGTTATTATGTTATGTAGCTAGCACACATTTAAATAAATTACAAACTTTACAAAATATGTTGATCGAAATAATATTCAAAAAAAATCGATATTACTCCACAAATCTCCTATAAGATGAAACAAAATTTTTTGATATCAGACAGTTATTGTTTCATGAAATTTTGATGCATCAATACAAAAATGAAGATAGCCTAATTTTAGTATCGCATTCCTATCATACAAGAGCAAACGTAAAAAAAAACCCAACTATACTTATATTCTATTCATTGGGCAAAGATGCGACTCTTACCTTGGACCAAGACTTTTCAACACCTTGAGTCAATCTCCTTTTTTTATATTCAAAAAAAGTCTAAAGAAATACATCACGGGCGTAGATCGAATTAAAATACACGATCTTATTGATATGAGAAATTCCCACCAATCACAACAGGAAATATATATGTATATGTGTAAATAAGTGTACACATGTACATCTAGTTCTTCAATTCTGGGAATAATATCCCTTTTTTCAATTCTGTTCGATGCGCTTTCTAATGATCGCCACACTTTTGTTCTTGGCCTACCTTTCATGGTCACCGTTCCAGGGTGGGAATCACTCTCTATATACCTTTGAGAATTATATTGTCTTTATTTCTTTATTGAAAAGGGTTTATTTTTAGGAGAGATTAATTTTTTTGGGAAAGAAATGTTTTGGCTTTCTATTTCTTCATCTTGATACAAAAAAATATGCGAATCTTAAGCAATCAATTTTGAAGAATTAATTCTATATGAAGATATGTGGATCATGCAAAGAAGTAACTTTCAGACACAAACTGGAAGAAAAAGCCCTATACAATGTTTGTATTCCAAACATTCGTTATGGAACTGAATCAGATATTATCCACAGGATTCCTACATGATATAGTAAATGGAAGAGGAGGTGAAATTTCATTTACAGGGAACACTGTCATCCCCACTGGTAAATATTCGATGTTTCGCTGTATGACGCTTGCCATATCAACTCTTCATTACGAAATTCGAATAACGTTATAAGAATTGATGTACTAACTTCACTATTGAATAAAATTGAATAGTTTATTGATGAATTGGACAGATTATTGGTGATTTTTCATTACGATGAAAAAGCCATCAATGAATTTGAAGACTTTCTGGTTAGTTTGAATAAAATTCCATTGAGAAGAATGTATGATCATGATGAACCTGTACAAATCAATGAAATCGGTCACATATCATGAAATCTAAAGAAATAGTATTCAGTTAGTTTTTGCATTGATCAATAAGGTTGACAATGTTCCTTGAAGAATGTCAAAGAATCCATCTTTCATTGTCTGCAAACATGTTGACAGATTTGAAAACTTACGAAATCGTACCCTGATAAATATCAGGAAGTGGTAAGGTTTCCAAAGTGAGAAAGACTCGAGGTGAGCATCTTACTCTAGTCCTCCGTTGTATGCGATTGTTGTCCACTCACGGGGTGATTTTTCCCGCTTTCATCTGTCACGCTATCTTGGTCTGGACTATGACGGTGCAAAGATTCATTTTTTTGATTTCAAAATGAATAGTTCAAGTCACGAGGAAGATTTTATTATGATTTCTTAGTATATGCGTATGAATGTTTGTACAGTCAGACTTAGAACGAAACTTTCCTTGAAAGCTTTTGCTGCTGCCAAAAGATTATAAGAGAAGGATACTGAGGTTTCGGTATCTAGTTGTGAAACCAACTTATAGAAGTCAAGAGATACGGATGAAAACGTGCCTACTGCTAGAAGGCAACCCAGTCGTTGAAAGCTACACCTCGCGAGTGGAGGACCTCAGTTGTTGCAAGCAAGACGCTTGTTTCTTATTATACTCAAAGGATCATATGGTTTGAATCTCTCTGGCTTCGAGTTCAGATCCCTCTCACTGGAACAGAAGCCAGAACGTTTCGATTTCGAATCTCTCCCACTTATATACCTTCTTGCTTCATGAGTGAAACCCAATTCATTCGTATAGAAAGAGAAACAGAGGTGAGAATGTTGTCATCTTGAATCCCTTTTGTTTCGAAACCCTTTTAGTTGTTGCGAGCAACACACTTGATTTTCATTATTCTCAAGAGATCCCATGGTTCGAATCCCTCTCATTGGAACAGAAGCCAAACGTTTCGATTTCGAATCTCTCCCACTTAAATACCTTATCGCTTCATGAGTGAAACCCAATTCATTCGTATAGAAAGAGGAACAGAGGTGAGAACGTTGTCATCTTGAAACGATGAAACAGCAGATCATATACTTTGTGCCTGCCCCGCTGGAGACTGAATCAGGTTTTGAGAGTTCGGCAGAGCCGTACTCTCACCATCTGACCTGAAAGACCATTCACCATACAAACTAATCGGCTTCGTTAAGGAGCTGGGTTCATTTGGTCGAGTGTGAATAGATGTGAGCCAAAATAAACCCTTGCGGGTTGCGGTGGAGGGTCGAATAGATCCACTCACTCTGGACCTAATCTGACCTAACCAACAGAAATCATATTTTCACCTGAAATGGAAAGTCGCGAGAGATTAGTGCGTCAATTTGACAAATGATATTGTGGTATTCAGGACAGTTCTATGTGTGTTAATGAAAATGACCAGTATTATCAAACGTAAATTAATTCTGAAAATAACTCACATAGGCGCAATTTCAGATCCTTGTGCCAGTAAACTACCAGTCGCAAACCAGACCGCATTGTTGAAGCTGAACTGATTGATTAAGTGTTCCGGTTCTTCGATACATGGGTAAGGATTTGTCCATTCATCAGCACACAACCTACCCATTAAATATAACAGAAGGGATGTTACAAAAAACGATACTGCTAAAGCGATCCATGTATCGATTCCAAAAGGATCGGCAAATGAAAAAAAACTTGGAGGAGCATTCTTAGGTTTTTTGAAAAGAATACTCACACCTAGAATAACAAATCCCAAAAGTGTTTTCGTGGACTCGATTAAAGCTTCACATACCTAGAGTCATGAATGGCACAGTGAAATCTACAGCCGCTACTCTGTCGGAAGTTATGGTGAAGTCACATATTGCCAGGTCAGCTTTCTGGAACCACCGTTAGGAAGATTCAGTGACAATAATTCCTGTATACTTACATGTTCTAAAAGATCACCTATCATCCCGGTCCATTTTTTGGTGGTTTTATTAAAAGCCCCGTTCATCTTGTCTTCTCTGACAACAAAGGTGTAATTGAAACCTTCCAGCTCTGACAGTTTATCGATCAAATCTATTGTATAACCTTCAAATCTGTCGTTTCCAGTTTTAGGTTCAGTCGTCTGTTTCAGCATTCCATATGGTTCGGTCTAAGAAGAGGAAAAATTGAGGGAATAACGTTATTACCCAAAAGTGATCACTATAACTATTTTGCACGTGATACTGTTTAGAATCAGATAACCTGAATCAAAACCAAACAAATGAATAGTATTTGTGAGCGTTTATAGACCAAGAAGTGGTCTATAAACCTTCACCAAAACCCTTTCTTGTATTTTGATATCACTGATAAAACTGTAGTCTGCTATTTTTTGTAATTAGTTTTCATCAACAACTGTTGATGTGGTTGATACAGTCTTCAGCTGCCTTCAATTCATCGAGCCTAAACGTTTTGTGAAGGTGTGTATCATCAGCATAATAATGGAAAATTCATCGAAAGTATATCAAAGCACACTTCCAATAAACTCTGGATTCAATTTAGAAAGTATATGCAGTGGTCCATTCTTTTTGTGGCAAATTCCTGAATTTGGCAATGCCAATCTCAATCCCAAATGGTTCAAATAGGTGTCCGATTCTTCCAGGTTTGTTAGCTGTTGTCTATAGGTTTTTATGTAATGTTTTTGTTGTATCAAGGAGTGAAAATATTATTTGTTGCGTCTTAAATAAAATTCATTGTGAAATTGCCATATAATGAGATAATGGATAGCTATTGAAATAAACTGTTGAAATCGAGTTTTTCGCAACCTTAAAGAATCTTCACGAGACCTAAAGAAGTAAATGATTGACAAGGCTTCAACTTTGAACGTGTAACACCTAGCATGTTTTCTCTCAAGTCTGGTAAATCAATTGTAATATTGACAATAACGAAAGATACTATCATATCTAGTTCAACCCCCCAGAAGGTTTTGTTTATACTTACCAAAGTGATGAGAACAATAAAAGTCTTGTTTCTCAAACTCTCCATATCAGAAATTTCCTGTGATTCAATGAACCTCGTGAGATTTAGCCCACTAGTTGAATTCCAATTGCCAATATCGGTAATTCCGCCTTCTCTCAGTTCATAAATGTCTATCAAAAATTCGCTTCGGAAACCTTCGTTATTGAATCTGACCAGACCAGTGAGACCTTCGTAGGAACTCTCGAAAAAAAAAGATGAGTAATACGAAATGAAATTCCAGATGGTCAGCACCCACTGATTTAAAAAACAGTTTGAGTATTCACATATTTTGACGTCTAGATTACGAATCCGAAAATTTAAAAGACCACTCACCATACAAACTAATCGGCTTCGTTAAGAAGCTGGGTTTATTTGGTCGAGTGTGAATAGGTGTGAGCCACAATAAACCCTTGGGGGTTGCGGTGGAGGGTCTACTCACTGTAGACCTAACTTTACCTAACACGAGAAAGAAAGATGCTGAGGAGAATACTCGAAGGAAGAAGAAAAGACGAAATTAGGGAAAAAAGAAATAACAAAGAACCGTAAGAAATCGATGGAAAACTAGATATTACAAATATCATCAAGGCTCAAATTCGATGGTGAGGGCATATTTCAAGAATGAAATATGCAAGTATGACCAGGAAAGTTATGAACAAGAAGTCACCTGACAACAGAGAAAGGGAAAGGCCACGAGTTAGGTGGAAGGTTGAAAGGGATCTGATACAAATGCGGGTTAGGAGAAGAACATAGGTAGCACAAAACAGGAAGACATGGAAAAATAGTAGATGAAGCTGTGAGCCAAGAAAAGGGCAAACCAAATATAAGTTTTTTGAGCTTTTGACACATCATCAGAGTGTGGTGTAACCAAGTGCAAGGATGGGCAACACTTGGGGGCCAAAAGAAATACAAATGCACGGAGACATCAGCAGAAGCCAGCCGCACATATGTGGTTCCAGATGATAGATCTTGTGTATGCAAAAAACGATCAAAATTTCCATGGAGGTAGATATAGCTTCTTGTTCATGCTTTTCATGTGAACCCACGACGTACGTGGTACGTGTGGCAGATACCAGATGGAGAAACAACTAACCGCTGATGAAGATTTTGTTATTCAGAAAAAAGTAATCAGAATTATGGCTGTTGCATCTTCAAGTGAACACTGTAGGTCATTGTTCCTTCGTTGAAGTTTATTAAAAATGCCTAGTTTGTATATCTACCAAACTCTGATATATATAAAAAACAATATTTCAATTATTTCTAGAAATGAGCAAATCCATGATCATTTCACCAGAAATAACTCTTAACTACATCAACCTTATGGTAGATTGACAGTATCAAAGATTCACCCCATGTGCTTTGGGGTTGAGCTATATAATAAGCTTAATGAGGACATCAAATCCTCAAATATCAATGTCTTTTAAAGGCGGCTCAAGATTTAAAGTACTCTTCTTGACGTGTCCACTGAGGAGTTTTCAGTTTCAGTCACCGATAGACCGGTTTCGGAGTACTAGCTCCTCATCAGTACTGGAAGGGTCACTTCAGACGGAGTGAACCGTCCCGAACAAATAACATTATTTCCAACTAGTCATAAGCTCTATCTGCAGTTCATACAGTGGGATTCACCACATCAATATTTAAAAGGAAATTTCATTGACGGAGATATTTTTTTTTTCGAAATATCACTAGTATACAATTTTACAATGTAGGAATAATATAAAAAAAACGAATTCATTGTTAAATCAAGTTTCTTATAGGGAAAATATTGATTACCAAACTGAAAAGTGGCAAGGAAGGGAAATGAGGTGAGAATGAGGTACGACACCGAATTATTCTTTTGGATTCGTAATCTACACGTCAAAATACGTAGGTACACACTTTTTTTCAATTCGGCGGGTTCAGCATATCCAAAATTCTACTTAATACAAAGTTCATTTCGAGTTTGGAATTCATTCAAACAACTCACAGTTTTGAGCATATTGACAACACTGTAGCCATGTTCCCAACTATCTGATTCGTAACATGGAAGACTGTTGCTGTTTTCAACAATTGGAACTGGACTCAGGTTTTGCCTATGATTGAAAATTTCAGCAAACATTTGCATGGCGTCTATTATGAGAGCAGGTTCCATTCTGAGCTTCCAAGGAGCTGTGTAATCATCGGGATACAATTCTTCGCTCACTTTTTGTACATATTCATTGCCTGGATTGATCATTCGAATCTGAAATATTATATATATCTCATTCAAAGAAAGTTATGAAATGTAGGACGTGATTATGATACCAATATGGATATAGCAACGTAAAAAGGGTTGGCTCATCTTCAACATACGAACAATGAAAATTGAACGGAAGAAACTTTGTTTTCAGAAAACGTAAATTTGGAAAATGTTTTCTTGTGCCTTGAAGACTTTCCAACATTACATAAACTCTCGAGTGAATCTGTGAAGGGAAAGAATAGAGAAATGGAAAAATAGAGGTTTGAATTTTTTTGGCTGCTTTGACTACTACCTGATGAATACGGTAATCATACCTCAGCCACTGTATTTCCTGTTCCCATTATGAAAATCCGACGTTTTGTGACAATTGAGAAGATAAAAGCCGAATCGTTGAGAGAGCTGAAGGACATACCAAGAAGTGCATATTACAACTGCTCAAGTTCGTTATCTCGTTTAAGTCAGATTTATGGGTCTAGGGTCCCGTATCCTTTCGGCTGTTTGAGTTTTTCTTGGGTTCCCGTGGCGGGGCGGCAGGGGATTGCATGGCCCTCTTCTTTTGGTTCTTTGCTCTGTGTGTAGAAGTCGCAGCGTACTTCTTTGGCTTTGCGGCCGTTAAGGCACTGTTTCTTGTTTTATTCAACGGCAAGTATGGATTGCAGTATCAAAAACTTCACTAGAAGTGCCTGCAGCTGCCCTAAGGCCGTTGGGAGACCTTCGGGAGGGCTGCAGGCGTTCTCTGACAATGAAACGGCCCTCGCATACGAGACGTCGCTCCTGATTGAGTTTCTTCCGACAGGCCTTGGGTTTGTGGTCTGTCTGTTTTCGTTCGGCCTATCTGAGGCCCTTTTATTTTCAGGGCGTTCTGGGCACCCATGGAAGCTCGCTGGGTGTTCTCCCTTGCAGTTAAAGCATCGCAAGGGCGAGTTTTTAGGTCTTTTGCATTCCTTGGTCATGTGNTGATATTATAGCCAGACCTGCTTCTTTTGGCTTCTATAACTTGTTCCATTCCGAAAGATAGATACTAAACTTCGAAATTAGCACAACGAAAATTAGTCAACTTGTCAACTTGACAACTGACATTATAACTGCTCAAGTGTATTATATCTGAGCTTGACTACTTTGAAGAGGACAAAATAAAAATTGATGAATGAATGAATCTTTTCCGTTTCCTAATTGGTCCACTTGGTTCCAATTTTGTTGGGCTCCATGTACCAAGTTTTGGGTCAATTACGGCATCGGTAGTAATATAGTTGCAGCAATATTATCGAAGGTTGTAATATTCAATGTATATAGTTTAGTCAAGAGTATCGAAAAATGGTTGCCCCTACAATACATCACTCAGTTATTATATTCAGTTACCAGGTACTGGTAATATCAACTCAGTATCGAGACTGTGTCAGTAAATGTCATTCAATTCTCCAATTCAACTGAACTGAACTATACATACGATGCTTTCATTATCGTCCTCTTCTTCCATTAATAAAAATCGGAGATAAAACAATGAATGTTTGGCTTTAACCCGAGAGCTCTCAGTTGGATGATAGTTTTGCACTTGATACATCGAAAAAAGACAGTCTAGACTCGACAATTGATGAGCTATCAGTATTGTTTATTAATTAACTTTGTTCATCGTGAATTTTTCACGGTGTGAAGTTTCTGACACAACATAAATATTCGTTTCCACAATTAATGAACTAGAGGCATTTAACAACTCTATAGAAAATCATGTTTACCCCTGTTATGTTCGCGTTGCTGTACATGAACGGAGATAGATCTTCTGTATGAGCATCCAAATTTGTGATGAAGTAGTGAAAGCGTTCATTCATGATTCCAGCTTGTTGCAGTTGTGTCAAAATCTCAATTAAATGATTGATTTCGCAATCCAATACTATGTAGCTCTCACCGGAATTCTTCAAATCCTTGATAGTGGATCTAGAAAAAATGCACATATTTAGGGTATACTGTAAAGGAATATGAAAAGTCATCTTCAAGAGTGAAATAGTGAGATACGGAATGGAGAGAGATATATTTATGTTAATACCAGCAGAGGTTGGTCTTGATGTTGGTCTTGAAAATAGAGAAACGTCGAACTTCGATGATATCGAACGGATGAATATTCGGAAAAATTACTTCAAATATTTCATTATGTGTGAAAACTCACGCTCTAGTATATACTATGTGGGAGTTTATCAAAGTTAGGATTTATGAATGAAAATACTTTGAATTTCATTTTCGTATTGAAAAAAGTGATAGAGTTGTGTAGACATATACCGAAAAGTTCGGAAGTAATATCAAGAATATTGTCAAAAAGTAGACTAATTTTGCAGACCCCATTTTCAATAAAAAATTAGGTAGATCGACTGTTTTAGGTACCATGAGAATATTTTAAATTCAAACAAGATTCCTTGGGTTATTCGCCATATTGCATTCAAAGTGACGTCATTTGATTTTTCCATTTATTTCACCGAAATCTTTCCTTTGATTCCCATATCGAGGAAGTGCATGAAAAATAACCTTCTCGCTATTTTGACAGTTCGTTATATTGGATTGAGAGTGACGTTATTATTTCATTTTTCGTATTCCTTTCATCAAACCATTTCATTTCATAACCGTATCATCAATATATCTACATGAAAAATAAATTATTCGTAATCTTGGATGGTTCCCTATTTTGGATTCTGACTGATGTCATTTTGTTGTCAGTACAAAATTTTCAATTTGATGTCATCCAAACTGAACGTCTATGCGAAATTTCACCTCAAACGGTTGAATATAACTGCTTTGAGATTCAGTTACGAAATTCAACCCAAGTTATTGAACTTACATACAAACATTGTAAGTTATATAAAAGCTTGTGAAGGAGCGATAACAAACTTGCAAACTTCTGAATCTATCTCAGATAGACTACCTTAGTTCAGCCTATATTTGAAAAAACCAAACCAAGTAACGAAAATATCAGAAATACTGTTATTGAAACATTCGCATTCGCTTCAATACCTTGAGCGACCATTATTATGGTTCAGAGAGCAAACAATAGCAAAGGATACCAAGAAACCTCACATATATTACCCATATGTGGAACAATATGATCAAGAAACACGTTGAATCTCAGGCTTTGCTTCTTGAAGTTTAACTAATTTATAGGTTGTCAGATCGTCTTTGATCATTGCAGATTTTTCGAAAACCGTTCCTTACAAATAGTCTTCGATGGTTCCCTCGAACGATGGTGAACTCTAAACTATTAATTTTGGTGATCCTCGGGAATACATTTTGTTTCTAACCTGTTTTTATACATCAACGATCTATTAAAAAATACTGTAAGTGCATCATTCGCTCTACTCATGACACCACAATTGACACTTCTTGTTTTTGGATACCCGAACATCAGTTGTTATTGCACGTCTTCAGCATCAGGAAATTTTACATCTCAATGGAGATATGAAAGAAATTTCGGCTTGATTTCTCAAAAGTGATGCAGAATTCATTGCTTCAGGAATACAGGCATTAGTTTCCTTTTAGGTGGTCAATGTATCAGAACCATAATGTGAAGACACGATTCTGCTAGATTCGCCGGTTGCCGAATTCTGTCAAAATCTGTTTTCCGTTAACAAGCTGTCGCCCCCCACAAACGACAACCCTCAAAAGTCAAAACTTATGCGAGTTAAGGATTCACGAGGTCTTATCATTTTAATATGCGATTTCTTTTCTAGAAACCAATTCCGTCTTGAAAGAAATATTACTGGAATAGAATAGTTGTTTGGAATACTATTTCGAAGTGAAAAATACCTCAACAAATTTCAATGTTTCATAGAGGCTCAAATTGAACATTATATACATATAAGGAGACTTTTTTTCAAAAACAAAACACAAGCACTACAGGAAAATCCTTGAGGCGCTCTCAGAGCGGTGCCTGTGCACATTGGATTTGAATCGCTGGAGATTGAATCCCTGGTTCGGAGACATTTATCTTCTTGGAGAAAACCGATTCAAAATCACTTCTAGATCGTCATCAAGATATGCAACCTCCTGCCGCCGGTAAAGATATGCATCCGTAGCCGATGTTCCGGAATCCAAATTTATTTATTATAGGTGACAACAAAACAGTTATTTCAGGAAGTGGGATTTTATATTTGACAATTTGCAACTAAATATATCTAAATTATCGATAACAGAATTTGTCATTTTGCACATGGTATGGATCGGAGAATTCTCCAGAACATTTGTGCGAGATGTTTTCATATAGAAAGTACTCGGGCTGCTGGAACAGATTCTAGGAATGCATATATTAAACTTTTCCTGTAATGTTGGGCAGTCAACTATGCTTTTGATAATTTTATAGGTTACTGCAACACTATAATATTCACGCCTTTTTTCGAGACTACTTTTGTAGCAATTCAGAGTAGGTTGTTCACATTGGAGGATAAATGTTATCGGTTTTTAGGCTTAGCAGTTTTAAAAATCGTCGTTGAGTTGCTTATATTCTATCAATGTGATATTGATAAAAGGGGCTCCACACAACTAATGCGTATTCTAACTTTGATCTTATGAAAGCATAGAATAAAGTTTTTAAGGAGATTATTATCGATATCAGAGTTTGGCTGAAAAGGGGTAGAAGCGGTATACGATTGTTTGAAAAGATTGGCAAAACCGTTTACGATATTTGAGGCCCCTCCAGCAATTGACCTTCAAAATTCAGTACTTGTGATATTTTGGAGCTACCTCGTTTATTATTCATAAATGACCAAAATCTGTTGGGATTTCTTCCTCAGTTTCATCTAAGAATTTTTCATATGCCACATAAACATCATGCTTTATTTTTGCTCGAAGATGTTTGAAATCTTCAAGGGCCTGCAGATTACACTCACCCATGTATTTGCGCCAGATTCTGCTTTTAGCCTGCAAATCTCTAATAATGCTTCTACTATACCAAGGAGGATATTTATTTTTGGATTCAACTGTATACTTGGGACAGCAGCGATCAAAAAGATTATAAAGTTTTCCATAGAAATATGTGGATGCACCTTCTGAGTCATCAAGAACTTCCAAGAAGGTCCAGTCAAAATGAGATATTTGATTATACAGATGTGGAAAGCCATACACAGCAATCCCTCATGACACACACGGTCAAAGGCCTTAGAAATATCAAGCTACCAAAATACCCACCCATACTTGTAAGCCTGAAATATCGAAGGAAGTTTACGATATGTCTTACGGAAAGTATTCGAATGATTCAACTCGCTTGATTCATGTTAGAAGTTCTTGACAATATAGTACTGCCCATCGTTTTAAAGTTCAACAAAGTAGAGCTAAACTACACTTTCAAAGAATCCTCTCATTTGGAGAATGATATTTTTTCAAATAAACGGTTTTTTCGAATAAATATGATCCACAATGATTTGAATCCATCGTTTCAAGCTACTTTCGAAAGAGAACCTCTCAAACCTCATTTGGAGTGTTCTGATAATTCTCATGTCGTACTTGTGTCAGTGAAAAATCTAGAGCTGAGTTTAATTTGCTAATTTTTGACATATAAAACTTTGAAAATTTTTGAAACCAAATTTGAAAACTGGTTTTTCCCCTCATTTTACGAGAACAATGAATCTGCATATTTGGTTTTGAAGAAATATTTTCGAAATGTTTCCAAACAAAATATTCTCACTTGTTCACAAAAATCTTGAGTGGATTTCGAAACCCTTTTCATCATTATGAGTAAGTACTTATAAGGAGTGTATTACCTGTAATTTCCTTCCTCTAACTGCATGACTTGAACAACAAGCCCTTCTGATTTTGCCGTTTCTATCAAACTCGTAACTCTCATGAGACTCTCGTTATCCTCATACAAAACGGTGAAAGATTCCCATTCAAAGGAAAATATTATATCCAAATAAGCCTTGGCAAGCAAAGGAGGATGGGGGTAAAAGTTGATTTCAGAGCCAAGCCTCATAGGCCAGAGATTCCACCTCGTAATGATATGCGGTATTTCTTTGGAGTCGCAGATGGACTGGACAATGTCGATGTTGTTGAAAGATCTTGGTCCAAAAACAGCAACTACTCCTGCTTCAAGTAAAAGGCACGTGTGATGAAGGGCAGAGAAAGGTTCGTTTTCGGCAACTTCGTTCTGGGTTAACGCTACAAACTTGACATCTTCTTCGTTCTGATTTTTATTGAGGAAGTCGATTGCATAAGTCAAAGCTTTCTCGAGGTCTGTATCGTTCTCAAATAAACCAGCTGAAAAATGAAATAAATGAAATTTTTCTCGTAGATAATCATGAATCATTCGACGAATGTTATTTGGAGTAGAATGTACATTACCTCTCTTCGATGGTGAAACGAAGAATTACATTTTTAGAGCAAAATAAGTGAGTGAGGTGGTCTGACTTGGTAATAAGTGTGATGATTGAAAAAATTAATGACAAGAGTACTATGACACTGAAAAAATTTGAATTTCGAAAAGTGGAAATTGTCTTCTGGCAAATTTGTTGACCTCATTTCAAAAGTGATGGAAGAAATCAAATATTTGTCAAGTTTATTTGTGAGCGGGAAAATTTTTGACTCGGGAGATTTATAAAACTTCCAGATACGTTATTGTGGAAAAGATTCTGTACCCGTAGTGTAGGAAGGGGGAGTGTAGGCCACATGTGACCCATTGTACATCCTCTCGAGGAGTTGTCCTCCTAGGTCATTGTCCATCCTGTCCTCTTCAGGAAGGTGGACAGGTCACTGGAAGATATCTATGTTATACCGGCAGGTGTAGGCCAAAACTCGCCGAATACACACTCTCTTATTGACAATAACTCCGGACACTCGCATAGAACATGCCTGACAGTTGTTTCATCTTCCTGTTCACACATCCTGCATGGAGGTGTTTCCACTAGCCCCATATTATGGAGGTGTTTCCTTAGTTGTCAGTGGTCAGTCAGCAATCCCACTCTTAAGCGTATTATTCCTGAATATCGCCAGATATTCCTTCGGCGCCAGCTTTCCAGGGTCGCCCAGGGTGATCCTGGTAAGACTGCATCCTTTGATTCCATCCCATCTCTTTAGGGATTGAGCATGGGTTTGGCTAGTTCTGCAATTGTCGAAGTCATCAGGCCGTAGCGTAGGTGTCACTGGGTCCTGAAAGTCTTAGTCCAGCTGCTAACTTGGCTAAAACGTCGACAATGCGATTACCTTTACTCCTGTCGTACCCTTCAACTCACCTCAGGATAATATTATCATCTACCGAGGCTTTGGCTAAATCTTGGTGGCACTCTAGTACCAGCCCTGAGGTAACACGTTGTCTGTTCAAGGCTGATAGGGCTTGTCTACTATCAGTGCAGATTGTTATGTTTATGCCGGAAATTCCTTTCCTGGTTATTTCTATTGTGACGATTGAGATCTGTTTGAACCACGCTGGTATTTTTCCCATTCCCTATTCTTTGGTTTTTGAGCCGTCTGTAGATATGCGTATTGCGTGTTGTTTTATTTGTATTTTGTACGGTTTATTATACACAAACCTGGGATCAATTGCATCACTGGCTGCCTGCAGCAGAGGTTGCGCAGTAAGCGCTTCTCGCCATAGGCTTCGCCTCAATTGACCTACTTCTAGGTTTACACCAGCCATGCGCAATCGTACCATGGCCATTAACGCAACCTCCTTAATGTACAGGTCCAGAGGGATTAGAGCAGGTGAAAAACGTTATTTGGCATTCTGATTCTCCATTGTTGAATAGAAACTGAAAGAAATTTACAAAAAAGAAAGGAAGGATATAGTTATCTCTCTAAAAATATTTATAAATGCATTATTCCGTCCGAAATTTATTCTGATAAAATTGTCAAATAATATTCAACTCAGGGTCCTGATTGGCGAAAGCTCTACCGAGAAAGTTTTCGGAGTGTTCGAAAAGATGGTAGTCAGTTGGCGAGAGGTCTGGAAAGTATGGTGAGTGAGGCAGAGCTTAGACGCTGAATTTGCCTCATTTTCGGATGGTGGTTTGTGGAACATGCGGATGGGCGTTGTCGTTGAGAATGATCGGACCTCTTCTGTTGATCAATGCCGGCTGCTGTTGACGCAATTTTTGGTACATTTCGTCGACTTTGAAGTGATCGTTTGGCCTGGTTGCAGACTCATATATTGAATCACACCAGCCGCTGACCACCATACAGTAACCGTGGTCTTTTTTGGTGCGTGGGTGGCTCATCGGTGTCCAATCACTGTCCTGGAGGTCATCTGTCGTCGAAGAGGATCCACTATTCATCACCCGAGATGATCAGATCTAAAAAAGGATTGTTTTGTTTGCACAAAAGCAAAGAAGGAAATACCTCGTAAAGTGACAATTTCTGTCGATCGTTCAAATCGTGGGGCCCTCACTTTTCGAGGTTTTGACCTTTCCAATACGTTTCAAACCATCAAAAAACGCATAGGAGCCCAAGACTAGTTTTTCCGCCATCCCACCCACCGTTTGTGATGGGTCAGTCTCTACCATGGTCCTCAAGTCCTGGTCCTAGATTAGTAGGTCGAGAGATTATTTTTGGGAGAGATAGTTTCCCACATGCTTGTATGAAGATGGATAAGTAAAAACCAAAACCTCTCTTGCTCAAATACTTTGGGTCTTTTTTGGTCGTATATTCATTGGTATCTCCAAAATACAACGTTAATAAAATCATAAACAATACAAAATTGAATGATCGATTTTCAATACATATATAATTCACTTATACAAAATAAGACTAGAAATTCCAAGAAAGATGAAATCGATAAAGGCAAATAGCTATTTAATCAACTGTTACAAATTATAAATATTGTTTGTGTACTTACCTATATTAACTTCCTCTCCAACGAAACACTTGAAACTAATCAACAATGTTATCACTGATAAAATCATGTTTTTCGTTAGGAAATACTCCTAATTTCTAGGAAAACATATTATGCGGACAATAAGCACTTCAGTTACTTTGAATGTCCTATTTCTTATATCATCATTTAAATCATCCCCCTTCGAAATGATTCTTGATACGTTGAGACGTGGTCTTTTAGTGGAATTCCAGTTACCAACTATAGTCTGTCCTCCTTCCATTAGCTCGAAGATATCTAGCCCGAAATCAGTTCGGAAACCTCTAACGTCAAATTTAACTGGGCCGGTAAGCCCTGGGTATTCCATCTGAAATTAATAGGAAAAAATATTGGATACATGAACAGGCAATCGAACTGAATTATAAAGAAGGAATAGTTCTTGATTGAACTGACTACGTAATGAGCAATAATTTCAAACATACTAGGAACAAACTGAATTATATGAAGGTGTAACAAACAAGCTGCTTCTCATACCAACATTACATAAAATCTTCAACTAATTACCAATCACCATTAAAGAACATAACAGAATTATTTATTTCTGATTGGTCATAGAGCAAATTTTCCGAATTTTTCAATCTAATGATTTCCAAGCATTCCGGAAAATTGAACTTCTAATTTTTTTTTCCAAGTATGATAGCTCACAGTCACGTTTCAACTCATGATAGAACTCTGCCTAGAGACGGATTGCAAATGTTAAAGTGGTGTTTCCATTCAGAAAACTTACTTCTTTGTTCCTTCACTCATTGGGAAAAGGCCCTAGACGTTTGACCAATACTCAACTCATACTTCTATACTTTTGATATCATTGTTGTCTTTATTATATTCGATAAATGTGTTACTCATTACTCACTTCGTGAGCTGAGTTCAAGTTTCCCCTTTTCAAAAAAAGCGAGATATTATTGATGAGTTCATCAAATTAGGTTATTGAAATGACTGTTGCTGATAGTTGTTTCAAAAAATCTGTTCTTTGATTTCTTTTTCCTCTGAACTATTTGACACAATTTTTTTTCCTTTGAATTATTAGGAGTACTTGGAGTCAAAAAGATTTTTCTTTTGTGATCATGGACTCTGCTCTCCATCAAGTGTGCCTTGTAACCACCATTGTTGATACGTAAAACAAGAATCGAGGTGAACTTTTGATGTCATGTGTTTTTCTATGGCGTTTACAATATGTTTTCAGTCGGCATAGCCTTCTATTCAAACATTTTGTATTTTTTTAGATGCCCGATTTGCGAATAACCAACATGGTTCCCAATACGCCTCCTGAAGTATCAAGAAATAGGATAAATATGTAGGTTCACGTTTCACAACAAACAATATAGTAAATTTCTTTTATGAAAAATCTATTATCAATGTCCTTCAAGAAATAACCCTTAGGTTCACAATGACCCGTTTCACTAGATCATTCAGTTTTTTAATTACCCTCATCAGTAATATATGATGGAAATGCAATATTGTTCACACTAAAATGATTCACTTTGATTTTGTGTTCAATTGAGCTCAATTTTTCACTTTCAGAATACTGTTCACTTGTTTTTTCATCAATAAACTCATCATTCTTGAAGTATTGACTGATTTCAGATTAGTTTTTATTTTTCTTCAGACTTTCTTTTTGTCTTTCGTGTTTCGCTCCCACTCAGATGTTTTCTAAAACTAGACATGTTAATACTTAACTTTCACAGTAATTAACACTATGCTTTCGTTTGCTGGTTCAAAGAAAATGAAACTACGAAAAATCGAAGACACAAATGACCCATTGTTACAACAATCAAACGAGGAATGGGTAGTAGTTCAAATCTGGCTAAATCGCCAGCGCAACAAAACAAGTTCTCTCTCGGTTAACAAAATGCGGGAATTCCAATGATTGCATTCTAAAATTGAGCCTTCTCTTATGAATGCGTTCAAATTTTAATTATTTATTTGAATTTGTATACGGTATTTAGTTGTGGTGTTATATTTTTCACTGAATTTTGTTGAAAATGTCACTTCTAAGGTTTCAGCCCATCGGGCAGGGGGACCGTGACATTTTGCCATTCCTGTCACCCTATAGTTACGCCACTGAGGGTGTATCACTTGATAAGGTCATCCTGTGACATGTGTGACCTTCTGTGAAAGTCGAGAAGAAGGGATATACCTACTCATGAAAACACATATGATTCTTTTGTACTATATTTACAGTTCTGTCAAAATTGTTAACATAATCATCGAATATAATCAAGTTCACAGTTTTACTAAAACTAATTAATGCATTTAAAATCATGCTCACTTCTTACTCCTACTTCTTCTACTCCTACTTCTTCTACTTCTACTTCTTTTACTCCTACTTCTTTTATTCTTGAGGCTGTTGTTGCTTTCCAGAGTTTCCAAGCTCATTTGTGGATTCACAACGAAACCGTATTGGCACTGGTTCTCTTCTTCCGCTGACGGAGATTTGGAACTACTTTCCGGATATAACACCTGTTTTTCCATTTTTCCAAATTTGAAATAAAACTTGACCTCCTCCTTGAGTGCTTCGATGAAAGATGTTTCAGTTCTCATTGCTTTCCTTGCCACTTGAATAATTGCTTCCAAAAGAGCCAGGAAAAAAGCTAGGATTGTTCCTAAAATTGTAACCCAAAACACCCCTTCTACACCCTTGAGGTTTAGGGGTGTGGCGTCCGAATTGTCTCCATCCGACTGAAAATAAAAAACGAAACTATAACCAAAAAAAGTACGATTACCAGAAAAGTAATACTTGATATAACTTTACTAAGTACGAACAGAAAAGATATACATCAGATTTGAGACTGAAGAAAAAGATTGAGAATACTTCAAGAGTCTAGTAATAATGAAAAAAAAATCATCGCCATTGTACTAATGAACATGCACTTCAAATAATATATAAAAAGTTTTGAAGCAGTTTTTTCCAAAATGATTTTGTAAGCTCATTGTTAAACTTCATGCCTAAATCACAGTAAAAATCAATATACATTCTGTGCTAATATTATGCACTACTTTCAAAACAAATTATGGTGCACAGTAAAATGCCATCTTGAGGTCAAATAATGGAACTCCACGGTTTTTGTTAGAATCTGATTCTAGGTGAAATTGTGATATGCCATCTAATACTGTGGACTTCATGTCACTATATGTTCTGAATCGGCATCGTCCATCATTCGTTAAAGTGAATGAATAAAAAACTCGATATTTGAATAACCACGACTACATTTTCTTATGATTACAGTAGTTTTCCTTGAATTCGCTTTTCGAATTATTGAATCGAGATGTCGCTCAATCATGTGGGCGACACTCCATAGACACTCTGTTGGCGATTCTTTGAATCCAACAAAAAATTTCTCATGGATTGCTTCAACTGAAAAAAACCTGCTCACATTTTTAATGGACCGATAGACCCATCCATCGGATCAATTGGAGGACCCATCGGTGAATTCAGGAATTCGACTTTTTGCTTCTTCTACTCAATGGCTTTCGCGCCATCCAGTTTGCGGTAGATGAACTAATACTTCATTTGCACTGAATACTATTTACTTCATAACGTATCCGAAAGATGCCATAAGAAGATGGTCAGTCTATGAACAACTACTTTCGTACTTTAAGTATTGAATAAAAATTAAACGTATCTACAGGGTGACACAGAACTTCATAAAAAATGTAAATATGAACTGAATAGTCTTTTAATTTGGCAATGTTCCTGCAAACTCTTGATATCTGTTATAGATTTTGAATTTGAAGAAAACATTTTGGTGGTGTTAAGGAATATTCATTCAGTGACTTTTTAATTTTGAATATTTTTACGGAGTAAAGCTGTTTTGATAAAACACAACCTATACTTACAGTTTTCACAGCCATTATAAATAAGGTTCGACTCGTTTTCATATAAGGAAATTTGCTGTATATCTTCCACATGTATTTTTAAGTTTTCAAATAATATTTTTCTTTAACAGTCGTCTTAAAATAGACTCAAGACTTGCTAGGATCCATGCGCATATGATTACAGACTTTCCGACCCTAGCTATATATTCGAGAAATTACTATTTGAAAGATATAATGAGGAATATTCCATATTGTAGAAATCCAATTTTGACTGTTTGGCTCCCTTGTCAATTATTTCATCCCTCTTGAAATCATTAGTATACCATTACCAACACACTTTTTCTTCGAGTGGAACAAGTGTAGAACAAATGAAATGCAGGTGAACGAAGCCGGAGAAGAAGCCAAACAAAGTTCCAGTTTACCAAGATAAAATCGGTCGAGAAATGGAAGAATGCAATTACAGTCCATTTACCAGTTACTAGTATACATCTGTTCCACTCAATATTTACGAAATTATGAGTGTTACTATACTTACAGAACACTGACCCCCACCTTTCCGTTCCTCCCACCATTTTCTTTTTATTTCATCAATTTTTCCAGAGTTCTGTAGTTTGAGAATAGCCGTACTCAAACTATTCCTATAAGTTGAATCTGAAAAACAAAAGGAACTAATGAATCGAAGAGGTTTTTGTATGAAAATGTATAATTATAAAGTTATTGCAAAGCGCTTTCGACTTTCGTCATCATCAGTGCTCACCTGAAGGTAAGTGATCTAATTGAAAAGAAAGTTTTGTGAAACTTGAAGTTTGCAAAATTTTTGAAGTTATGAAATTTGGAAAATAGTTTATGATTACTTACTTGTCAGGCAACAAGAAGTATCAAAATGAGAACATGGCACACTTGTAATATTTGACTTATATAAAACAAAGAAGGCTGATAGCCAAGAAATAAAATTTTTGGATTGAGGCCATGTGGTTCAGTCAATGTATTATATGAAAGAAGGTCAACTTGAGACAGGATGTGTCAAGTGTCATGTTAAAATAATGGTACTAACTTGAGGAGTGATCCATTATGGATTTAAAATAATAATGTTATGGAGAAGCCAATATAGAATAAAGTATATCAGTAATAAATTTGATCAACTATTCATAATCCTTTTATGACGGGAAAGGAAATCTCTGTTTAAGTTTACTTGAGTATCCAAACAATGATCATTATTGGAAAGTTCTTTGGAAATCTCCAACTCTTCAAACAAGTCAAGTCTAAGAAATTGTTTTTTATCTGTTTTATGTAATATTTTGGAATTTCTATTGGGACTGAAGTTATGATTGTGAAATTTTAAGTGGTGGTAGATTTGTCAGGTTTTTATAAATGTTCATTAATACGAGTAAAAAGAGGTCTACAGGTTCCAACAATGTAAGATGCCGATGATATCAATTTCGATTAGTTAATAGATCCGTGTAGTTACCTATATTGGCTTAGCTGCTCACATCTGTTTGCCAGATAGCCATACACAGAAATGATTAGGCAAGCCTACCTAGGCTTGCAAAAAGTTTAATTTATTATCTTTTTCTATTTCAAGGGTGAATTTAATTTTTGGATGCAAGTTATTTGAGGAATCAAGGATGTTATGTGCCAAATTAACAACATTTAACACAATTAACAACAAACTAGATTTTTCCATTTACAGAAAACCAACCCAGACTGATCATGTCATTCCCTATCAATGGAAACGTATTATTATTATTATTATATTTGGGGAGCTAAAGTGAAGACAAAGAAAATGTTTTCAGTAGACAGAATTATAAAAAAGTCACCAACTGAAATATATCGAAATGAAAAAAATTCATATATTTGGAAAATGCATGTTGAGTTGTCATTTCTAACCATTTCAATCTATGAAAGTTCTTCAACCATTAAAAATTCAATATTCTGTCACTGAAACTGTAAAATAGTTATATTTTATGTCACTATCTCCCATTAGTCTAATTCCCATGAGAATCAATGGAATTTCAAAATTTTACAAGTATCATCATGTGCTCCAATCAATTATGAAATCAACAATATATAAAAGCCACAATTTTTAGTTTATTTCGCAAATTATGATGCTATGAGATACTACTCACTTTTCCTCATAGCTATACCATAACCCTTTTCATCCAGTTTACCCCCTACTTGATTAAGGTCACATTTTCGTTGCGTCTCGTACTCAATTGATTTGTCTTCCATGAAAAAGGCGTAGTATCCTTGCCTGGCATGATAGACGCCGTCGACATTATCAGGAATCTTGATTACGTCTCTTGTTTTCTGAATCAGAGGCCAAGCTTTTCCGAAATCAGAGGTAGGGTCTGCTTTCCATTTGTCCTTAAGAAAGAAAAACTCACATGATTTTGCAGATCATTGAGTGAAACATCAAGTCATTTTGAAAAGAGAAATCTCCAAGTTTTTGTGAAGATTCTATTGAATTCGTAGTAATTCTAGAATTACTAGAATAGTTTTTACATCCTTACAACATTCAGATAATTGACGAAACTTCGTTTGAATTTTGAAATTGTTTCGGTTTTTCCACTCACTTCAAAAAATGACTCTGTTGCTCCACCTCTTTTGGCCCCAAGTTTGATATTCTTCCGTTCTGCGTTCTCCACGAGTTCTTTGAAGTTGGTGAAATGTGGATCCGGTTTTTCTGTTGTCAAAAACGCTGCTAAATTGGCAGTATAAGAAGAAACCATAAGGAGAGTGAAGAACCACCACATACCGGCTATCATCCTTGTGGAAAACGACCTGAAAACTCATAGGGGTAAAATATTGTGATGCGGTATTCGTAGATGCAACATAAACGCTACGAAACATTTTCAATTTAGTAATATAGCTGCATGGCTCATCCCTTATGTAAAAACACGTGCAAATTTGCGTAGGTCCATTTTGGACCTTTTTGGACCTCCAATCGGAACCTTGTGGAACAGCGAACTCAAGGTCGTGCGTCGTTGGTAAGTATTTCAGAGAGAGACTTTAGTAACTGGTGCGCGAGAAGGGGGCTCCGGTGAGGCGGAGTCCCAAGGGGGGACGATCGGTGATACGGAGTACCAAGGGGGCCGAGGGCAAGGGGACCCACGCTTGAATATCTCTGATACTCATTCCATCCTGTGTCGATGACGTCACACATTTCCCACACTCCCGTTTGACTAAAAATTGCAAAAAGTTTAGCTTATAAGAAAATATTTGGGATTTTGTGCTCGTGGTCTCTTTGTTCATCTACTGAATTTGAATTTCCCGCTGTACGCGCGGTAGCTTCTGTAGGGAAGTGGGGACGACTACGTCACATCTACCTTGAGTTGGGTGTTCCACAAGGTTCCGATTGGGGGGTCCAAAAAGGTCCAGAATGGACCTACGCAAATTTGCACGTGTTGTGTTTTTCCATAAGGAATGAGTCAGAACTCTTGCAGCTATATTACTCAATTTCATTCAAAATTATTCTCCTTATCAAAGTTTGTGAAAACAGTTAGTTTTCTCACTTGAGTTCGATTTCTGATCCCTGCTGCATAATAGATCCTGTGACGAACCACAAGCAGTTCCTGAAATCCAGCTGGTTGACTAAAAATTCCGGTTCTTCTATACAAGGATAAGGGTTCTCCCATTCACCAGGTGAAATCCTTCCTACAACAAACAGGATCAGAGATACTCCGATCCAAGCAACCATCAGAAGTTCCCATACTTCAAATGCGAATGGATCGGCGAAGGAAAAGAAGCTTGGAGGCGCTTTCTTGGGTTTTTGGTAGAGAATACTGATACCTGGAAAATGAACTGTTTGAAAATACCATATATTGTCTAGGACAACTAGATATTTTGTGATAACTTCAGTGTTTCTGGTACTTATAATATAGATCGTGTTTTGGATAGTTTTCGAGTTTTGTCGTATTCTTTTTTGATGATAATATCCAAACGTTTCGACTGCAACTGTGGCAGTAGAGAGCTAAGAAAGCTGATTTTATCCAAAATACTTGAATCAGAACTACAAATATCCTTCACCAGATGTTCCATACATACCTAGCATCATGAATGGGACTGTAAAGTCTACTACGGCTTCTCTTTCCATGGTAATAGTGAGATCACAGATTGCAAGATCAGCAGTCTACAAAGAAATGGTTTCATAAATCATATATCTAAACTATATCCATCCAACGAACAAAGCAATCCAAACAAAGATAGATGCATGAGCAAAGAATGATCACCACGCACATATGCATCTATTGGGTGAAATAAACAAGTTTCCTCACGCTGGCCAATCAGATTTAACTGCAATCGGCTGGCGGAATTATTTGTTACATTGTCGGAGTGGTCAGTTCCGTTTTCATATGTTAACGCGACCCATTTATCCCCACGGGAGACACCCTAGTTAGAATATTTGAAAATCATTTCTTAGTGCGCATCTAAGACTTAAGAAGCACCTACATACCAAATTTTTTCAACAGACAGCGTATTTTTGGAAAAGATGGAAATTAGGAAGATGAATAGAATGCGGACATTTTTGTCTAGAATTGCTAGAATAGCTAGAACTGGAAAAGGCTGTATTGCTGTGAAGGGGGCCAAAATATATTGGAGTTTATTGAAACTGTACTATACTAAGTTTTGCATCTCAAGATTTCATGAATGCTCAACCTCAATTAAAATGAAATATTTTGAAACAATAAGTAGGTAAAAATCGATAGTTAGTGTTGAAGAAAGGAGAAAATTGTGTAACACAAACTCACCTCTTCAATTAAATCCCCAATGATTCCAGTCCATTTGCCTGTAGCATTGTCAAATTTTCCATTGGCCTTATCTTCTCTTAGGATGAATGTATAGTTGAATCCCCTCATATCAGATAGCAATTTTATCAAATCAACCGCGAAACCCTCATACTGGTCGTTTCCATAGAGTGGATCTAAAGATTCGACTCTCATACCATATGGCTCCGTCTGAAAAACATTATAGCATTTGGAAATCAAATAATCAACTCCCCTTAATAGTAAATGGAATTCGATGGAGTAAGTGGTAGTTCTTTTACAGCATGTAATAATATCTTTGAACAAAAGGCATTTTTTAAAATTTTTCTTCCATGTGAGTTTGAACTCCAATGAATGAGTAAATGTCTTTTTTTTTGATAAGCAAATATTTCAATAATCCAGAACGAATATAAGATGATGAACCGACTATAAAGATTTCCATAGTCGGTTTGAAACGAAGGCATTTTGCTGTTTGGGTCGGATCTTTCCTGCACTGATACGAGGTAATACCTCAAAACCGGTCTGTAGGTGATCTACTCGAATGATTTTTAGCATGGTCCTTCTGCTGGATGAACGACAAACAATTGCAAGACTAACCTCTGTGAGGTATTTAGCATGAATGTCTGCTTTATATAATTCAATATCCAGCGTGGTATTAGCCGGGAAAGTAGTCGTTTTCCGGCAGGCCTTCACCAGAACCTACGGTGTGGGTAGTTGGGAGATGTGTTGACTTACGATTATTTCATCGTGAGTATAAATAATTAACACACACAAGAATTATATTGAATCTTGTGGAAAAGTGGAATGAGATAAATAAGTGCCAAGTGGTACTGTGGAATAGACAAGGTTCATTCTGACGATACACCTCCTAGGTTCAAAACGTAATAATTATAATTTTACAATACAATGATGTATATTCTACCTAGCTAGTTAGACAGCCCTAGCTAGTTTTATGGAGACCTACCAATAGATAGCACCACTCATACAAAAGTATTCAAACATTCCACAGTATTCCAGAACTGTTCTGGAATGTTGCACAATGACGTGGTATCTTCCGCAATATTCTAAAATGCTCTAAGGTATTCTGGAATCTTGTGAAATGTTTTCGATTACTCCAGAACTTTCTACCCTTATATTTTCAATCATTTACTCATGAGGAAAAAAAAAAGAACCTTTTTCATGAACAAGCTGATGTAACACTTTGACAGGAATGAAATAACTACGGTAGATCCTTATTCTGTCAACAGTATAATAACGTATAAAAATTGAAAAGGTCTAAATTGTGGAATTGGATTTCTTAACCGAGAAATCCTCGAGAAATCCCACTTAGTAGTTACCAGTGAAACATCTATGCGTTTTTATACAGTGCTTTTCAGATAAAAGTATCCACCTTTAATAACTTTTGTAATACTGGTATTTAGGAAAAATCCAAAAACACGTCAATTTATGTTGGAAGGAGCAAGTATTATGGCTTATTTAAACTTACTGGAAAAGCCACCCCCTCACCCCTAGCATCATCCCTTTTTTTTT